TATAATTTGTTTATCATGTTCTGTGTATACATGCTTTATACACCTTTTCTAAAGATTCACTTTGCTCATCCCGTTTTGCCACCGGCCATGTAGGCCTGATGTTCACAGTGACATAAGACAACATGACAGAGGATCCTGTGTGTTCAGGACTGTGTGGAGTTGTTCAAGTCACTGTCGTGTCTTCTGTTCTCATGATTACTAAGAATCAAGGCAATTCTGTCTCCAAAGTTTCATCACACACTCTTGGTGTCACTTCAAGACTTTCGAGAGAAGCCTCAGCATCTGATGTGGAGACTCTCTTTTCTTATTTACAGTTCCTCAAGTCATGATCCATTAACATAGAGCCCGCAGCCCACACAGCTTCTCTGAATGACACTTCTGCAGTTCACACATGAGACACCAGGCTGTTTGGTCATCAGGAACAGAGAGCGACAGAACAGGAACTCTGGAGTCTGTGTAGGCAGCAAAAGCACCAACTGTGAAAATCAGAGCACTCAGTTACCTCTGGGAAGGTCTGATGAGAGATGGAACGAGGACTGGAGCTGATACCAGCTAGGATGAGCACACCGGGGTGAGAATTCTATGTTTTTTAGGGTGTATCACACACCTATAGAGGAGTCATTAGCTTGGACTTTGAGGTGCAAGGTAATATTCACCATGATGCAAATGTTTAAAAGTAAGATCTTGCAAAAAGATAATAACTTAGCACTTTATGGGGTCCTATTAGTTTAGAATTAGGAAACTTGGGTGATTTCTCCAAGCTAACTGGAAAACACATTAATTCAGGGAAATTGTGGTTTCTCTTTCACAAGTATAGAAATACAGAGGATGAAATAATTTGGTTTTTTAAAAATCCCAAGCTGTCTTACAGAATTTATAGTCAATGGGGTCATAATTTCAGACTCCCGATGAAGTATAAAAGTGCATGTATGCATATATATGTGATGAAATGTATGTATGGATATATAAAATTAATGTGGTGATTTGTCTGATAACAAGAAGCAATTGGATATTTTAGAAGTTTATGGGGTAAATAGCCAGGCTTGAGGGTTATGTTAACTGAAGTAATAAAAAGACAGAATCCCTAATTGACAAGAAGCAGGGCATGCTTGACGATGTGAAAGGCTTGCTTTGTGGTGAAGATCACCATGGAGAACAAGACATTATGGGCTTTTCACCATGCCTTGTTGTTGTAAATCGTCAAGAAAGGGAAGAGAATAGCTCTGAACAACCTGTTCAGTTATGATCCAGAGAACACCCACCACTTCTTTCACAATGGAAACCACACATGTTGTGTCTCTTAGACATCTGTGCCCACTTTGGGGTGTGAGTGGCAGCGGGAGAGACAGGTCTTAGCATTGGTGAGCCGACCATCTTGCGCATGCTCTGATGGGCACACACCACTATGAGTGCTGTGTTCTCCTTTTCGGTGTTGTCTTATCTCTTGAGAATATTTTTCACAATTATGTTCAACGTGTCACATCTTGGGGTTGTCTCATTTTTCATTTTTCTTATAGGATCTTACAAAAGTAGGAGAGTAATTGCGTGATTTTCCTAATATTTTGGAGAACTGGTATGAGACACCCTTAATCAATAAGTTTTATGCTCTGGTTACATAAATAATAGTGTTCACATTTTGTGTGACCACTTGTGTTGTGAGATTGCTTTATCCATGATACTCTCTAGAGGAAGCCACTAAGAAAAGTCACTCTCAAAGAGAATGCCTTCTGGGTAAAACTACACATTACCCACAATTATCTTCTATTTCAGAAGTAAATTCTTGTACTTGTGTTCGTTCAGTCATGTCTTAACTTTTACCTAGTGGACACGTGAACACTCAGTTAATGACCATGTGACAATGACTGTACAGGACTAAACACAGAGGATCCTGTCTGTAAACTGACAGAGGAGCCAACAGTTTCTCTCTCATGGCACAGACTCTCAGCATCTTCTGGACATCAGTTACCTTTTAAAATAACAAGAAGGAATATCCAGCTGAGCCCTAAGTCCATGGTGAGTGGTCTGGGTTCAGTGATCATCAATAGAATGATGAGGACTTGGAAATCCAGGGTTGGACTCCTCTGCCAGAGCTGCAGGGTCAGGGCAGGCCTGGTTTTCATGGGCACAGAGAAGCCTTATTTGCATGTCTTCCTTCTTTACCAAGTTCTGGTGTTGGAACCCTGGTGGAAGGCAGTTTTCTGAGCAGATATGAGACAATAAAAACACTGATGACACTTACAGAAATTGACCACATTTCATTTAGGTCTCTCTTGTGCAGTTGCTCAGAACATGCTGTGTTTCCACACTGTCACGGTTCCTTAGTTCACATGTGAAATTACAAAGCTCCAGAAACAATTGAATTTCTAGATAGGTGCTCAGTCTTCTTCACTGTCTGTGCTGGACATGGCTTCTCCCTGACTCCATGATGTGGACCTTGGGCAGGGTCACACCTGCCTCACGAGGCTAGCAGAACTCATTCTCTGTGGTGGGATCCCTTGGAATTCTGCTGAAGTTTAGATTTTTATGACACAATAGTGTCCTCAGGACATGAGAGGTTTTCAAGTGTGACATCCCTTGTCACTGTCACTCTACTCATCCTTGCTTGATAAGGAGACACGTTTCTATTTGCAGCAAACTCACTTGTTTTGCACCTGACATTCTGTCTTTGATTCCTTTACACTCCCAATTTTCATTATCTTCCTCGCCCTCACACCAGGCATCTCATGACTATCTTAAGTTTTGCTAGTCTAATGTTCATTTCTTCCAATCAACACAATTAGCATACCTCGTATTTGGACTAAGGGTAATGATGACCTTCTTAGTATCTGATCCATTCCCATGCTTCCCAACTACTCATCTCTTTTCTCTGACCACCCCTCACTCTTGCTTCTATGTCACCATTGCTCCCTTGCCCTTGGTCCTCTTTGTCCCTCACTGAAAATGTCTTCCCATCCTAGGGTTCCTGCGTTATTTCCAAAACCTGCCAAACAGAAGGCAGGACACCCAGAACACACAGTCTATGTTCTGAATACTACAACAGGCAGTGTCTGTCCTTCCCAGTCTCTGTTGCATTGTTTGACAAATGTATTTCCAGCTCCACTCATATCTTTCCTAGGCTCTCTGAGAGCACTGGGAAAGCAGAGGTGAAAAGAGCCTAAGAGTTGGAGCATGAGGAAGAGGGCTGTGAAATTCTGAGTACTGGACATGACATCGTTATCGTGGTCATCAGCTCATCCTAACTGCTGTTTTCTGTGTAAGTCCTATCTAAGTCCACCACCATAGTGTAGGATACTTCCAATTCTTCCGTCCAACTGAGGAACTGTTGGGTATAAGTGGTTCTTGGATAGGAAGAATCCTTTTTTTGAGACAGTGTTCATTGGTAGATGTCCTGTTTTGCAGTGCTTGTCTCCACACATGTGGATATATGGGCAATGTTAACTGGCCTTTAAATGTCATGAAGTTGTTTGAGGCTCATCTGTTGGGGAAGATTTCATTTTCGCATTTAATTTTTTTGTGTGTAATGTTCACAGCCCATTTAAATGAAGAAGAAATTAGTACTTGACAAATGCAGAAAGGTTTAGAGTAAAAAAAAGTTAATAAAAATGCATAACGAAGACTCTGGTGTGACCTAAGTGGGTAGACAAGGTGATCCCCACTAACTAGAATGGTGGCGACAGCTTTTATCACACTTTATTTCAAGTGCTACCCTGTAGTACCATAATAATGAAACCAGCATGGCACCAGCACACACACATTCATGGGGGGTGGAGTCTGGGCGAAGGGTCTGCGAGTATGTGGTGATTTTGGAGGTACAAGAAGACAGAAATGATAAGCAGTACTACTACATGGGTTCCTTTAGGCCTCTGGGAAGCATCTGCCAGGTAGACATCAGGGCCCTGAACATTTGTAATGCAGATGAAACTGTAGAAGAGGTGCAGAGAAATATAAGGGATTATGCCTGGGTTTGGAATTACAGACAGGGGCCAGTAAGAGTTGTAAATTTACTACTTAGATTTCCTGGCCACATGGGGAAACTGCATGGTCACTGGCTGGTGGAAACATCACCTAAACTAATCTTAACAGAGAGCACCCGTGACAAGAGACACGGAACACTCGGGCAGGGGCATGTGGGACTTTGGGAGATCCCTTAAGAGAGATATCCTGGGGTTGAAATGTGCATGGTCAACCACTGCATTCCTGTCCTGACCAGGGAGACAGAGGGAGGGCCCTTGGGAGTCTGTGGGTGTGATCTGGGGACTCATAAATATAGAGAGAACAGGAGAAGGAACACAAGACACCAGTTAGGCAGTTGATGGTAAATTATGGATTCCCTATAGGTAAGGGGCCTGAGTAGGAACAGGGGTCTAATTCAAAGAGATCTGGACAGTCCACTCTTTCCATCTGGCAGGACATGAAGAGAAAATGTCACATGGATTTCCTTCAGCTGGAACCAGCTGGGATTGCACACCTTTGGCTTCGAATTTTCTTATCTAAAGGCACAGAACACATTTGCAGATGAGTCATGATTTGGGACATTGACGTGAAAGGTCATTTCTACTGAGAGAGAGATACATAAAACTGAATCTGTATAAAATAATAACCACACGATCTGTTATAATTCCTGTTGTTTTAGAAGAAGGAAACAATGTACAATGAAGTTTTCAAGGCGTCATGGGAAAATAGCATTATTTCATGGAAGGGGCAGGTTTTCCATTATACGCACACCCCAAATGAAGAATATCAATTATACATTTCTCATAATGGCAGTCTGCTGAAGAAATACATGTATATAATGGGATGCATATATTAAGAATATCTACAGTTATATGCTGAGATGTCTAATAACAATATGCATATAGACAGCAGGCAATTTGTGAGGAAAATCATTTGTTCCGGTGTGTTTATTAATAGGAAGTTCAATAGAACTTGACCATTGGCGGAACCTCTAGAGGATTCCCCTGGGTAGAAAGGAACCCACAGGTTCTTTCAACTAAGCACATGGTTTTATAGCACAGCCCAGTATTTTCTAGGACCTGAAGTAACTCCTACTGTTCCTATAGTCTCCGTTGGTCCTCAGCGGCCCATCCTGGTCCTGAGTGTCTCTGCAGGGAGGTTTCTGTTCAGGATCACACTGGATTTCAGTCACTGTGTGTCTGGTACAGTAATACATGGCTGTGTCCTCAGTTTGCACATTGTTCAGTTTTAAGAAAACTTGACTGTTGGAGGTGTCCCTGCTGATGCTCATTCGGGATTGGAGAGCTGATTTATAGTATGTTTTCCCATCATAACCTATTAATCCCATCCACTCAAGCCCCTTTCCTGGAGGCTGGCGGACCCAGCCCACACCATAGCTGGTTAATGAGAACCCAGACACAGTGCAGGTGAGAGACAGGGTCTGTGATGGCTGCACCAGGCCAGGTCCTGACTCCCTCAGCTGCACCTGGGACAGGACACCTGGGGACAAACAACATCACCATCAGTCATACATCCCATAATGACATGCCAGTGTCCCTCTCCTCAAACCCTGCATACTTACAGCTTGGAAAGGTCACCAGGCAGAGGAGCAGCACCAGGACAGCCATGCTCTGCTCTAGGCTGGAGTGAGAAGGAGATGGGGCTGCTCAGCTAGGCCTGGGCTTTCATTCTGAGCCTGAGGCTGCTTTGCATTGGGGGAGGATCCTGAGAGGATAAAAGGAGGCACAGGGCAAGGTTTTCATTTTTCCATCCTAGAGACTGATGTTTGTCTTGTGCAGGATGTGAAGACAATTTGTTCATAACACTCCATAATAATCAGTAGCCTGTAACATGGTTGGAAATTCATATAAACGAAAGTAATAATAAAAGACAGAGAAACCTTAGTGGTGACAGGTAGTGAAGAGGAGAAGAGGACATGCTTGTACACTGGAAACTCTATATCTTGAGGTAAGCATCACCATAGAAAACAACAGAGTGTAGCGCTTTTCTCCAGGCGTTGTTAATGGAAATCACCATGGAAGGGAAGTTCAGAGCTGGAACCAAACTCCTCAGTTGGGACTCAGAAAATGTCTGTCTTATTTGGCTTATGAAGCCTCACGTTTATCAAAACTTATTTCTTTTTCCCAATTGTTTTCTACTGTGAGTGGCATGGTGACACTGGCTTATCATTATGGAGTCACCCATCCTGTGATTGTTCTGATGGCTACCCACACTATGACTGTTCTTTCCCTTGTTCATGATGCTGTGCTGTTAGAACAATATTTAAAGACATTCTTCTCAGTGTGTTTCAGCTTGGGATTGACTGATATTTTTATTGTGGTTACTAAATTTTGGGAAGCAGTATTCCAGAAAGAATAGCACGTTTCTCATACTGTATCTGGGAAGTTGGAATAATTCCAATTGTTGGAGTGCTTTTTGTCTTTGATTATCTCTTAGAGAGTTTGTGTCTGTAAGTTGTACTGTCTTACTTCTTTGGATTATCTTCTTCATGAAACTTAATAGAAGGAAGTCACTAAGGAAAAGTTGCTAGAAAAGGTAACATGTTCATGATCATATCCATCATTTTTTAAATTATCTTCTTTTGGGAGATGGATCCTTATTTTTTTAATTGTTCAGTTCTAATTTACTCCTGCATGATGGACACATGAACAATCTCTTAATGGGTCATGTAGTAAAGACAGAACCTGCCTATCCATTTGTGTGGTGATGAGATTCCTGTCAACATAACACAAGCTAGGGTCATCAGGGAACAAGTAACTTTAGGTGGAAGAAATGCTTCCATCAGTTTGGTCCGCAGGCAAGTCTGTGCTGTGTGTGGCCTTGTGGGAGGGAAATGTGTTACTGGTGGTGGACGTTGAGTTTTCAAATGGTAAGCCTGGACAATGATTCTTTTGCCATGTTCCCTGCCATGGTGCTAATGGACTAGACCTCTGAAACTGTAAGCAATACCCAACTAAATGCTTTCTTTCATGATAGTTGCCGTGGTCGTGGTGTCTCTTTCCAGACTAAGACAACACTGAAAGAAAATTTCAAAGAATTAACAAAAATATTATTTGAAAACTAGTAAAAGGAATCCAAAGGAATATTGATTTCAAACTCTATCTACAAAGGATACCAGGTGACAAAATTAGAAATATTTTACCTGTCAATCCCAGTTCTTTATATACTTTATATACTCCCATAGTTCGCAATGACCCCCCCATCCCATCCTCCATCCACTCCCCAGGGAGCTTGAGGCCTCCCATTTGGAACCACCAAAATATGTCAATTCACTTGTGGCAGGGTCTAGGTTCCCCCACCCTCTCTGTATCTAGGCTAAGAGAATATCCCTAAATAAGAAATGACCTCATGAAGTCCGTTCATGCATTAGGGATAGATGCTGATTCAACTTACAGAGGCTGCCCAGTGCTGCTAGCTGACAACCACATTCAGGGGGACTGGTTTGGTTCTGCGTTGGTTCCCCAAATGTCAGACTGTGGTCCATGAGTTATCACATGCTCAGGTCACCTGTTTCTGTGGCTCTTCAAGCCTTGTCTCAAGTCCTCTGTTCATCACTCTTCCCTCTCTGAAACTGGATTCCAGATGTTTGGCAGTGAATCTCTGCTTCTGCTCCCGTCAGCTACTGGATGAAGGCTCTAGGATGGCTATTAAGGTAGCCATCATTCTCATTACATGGGAAGGGCATTTAAGATAGCCTCCACTATTGCTTAGGGTCCTGTTTGGGGTCATCATTGGTGGTCCTTGAACAATTCCCTACTACCTGATTTCTGTTTAAACCTATAGTGGCTCCCTCTATTGATATGTCTCTTTTCTTGTTCTCCTCTATTCAACTCCCTACTCAATCTTCCTGATCCTACATGTTCTCTTCCTACCTCCTCTTGTTCCTTTCTCTTTCTTCTACCTCCCTCCCTCTTCCCTATACTCCCAATCAGCTCAGGAGAACTTGTTCCTTTCATCATGTCTGGGGAACAATGTATGTCTTCCTTAGGGTCCTCCTTGTTTCCTAGCTTCTTTGGTGGTGTGGATTGTAGACTGGTAATCCTTGATATATGTCTAAAATCCATATATGAGTACATACCATTTTGTCTTTTTGTGACTGGGTTACATCATTTAGGATGGTTTCTTTTAGTTTCATCCATTTGCATGCAAATTTGAAGATTTCATTTTTTTCTCCTGCCTAGTACTCCACTGTTTAATTGTACCACATTTTCTCTATCCATTCTTCAGTTGAGAGGCATCTAGGTTGCTTCTAGTTTCTGACTATTACAAATAATGCTGCTATGAACATAGTTGTAAAGTGTATTTTTCCCGCCAGTCACCTGGGCCCTGCCATGATGTCTGAACCCAAAAATATCTCATGAGACTCTATATTAATTATGAAGCTGTTGGCCATTTCCTTTGTTTCTTACTGGCTATCTCTGACTTAAGTATTTAACCCATAAATGTTAATCTAAGTATTTCTCTTACCGTAGAAAAGGGTCTGGATCTCTTACTCTGGCGGTCTACATCGTGTCTCTCTCTGCCTCTCTTTCCCAGAATACTCCTTGACCCCTAGTACCAACTATCTTGCTACCCTATTGGCCAACAGTGCTTTATTCAACAACCAATAAGAGACAGAGTTACAGAATGACATCTCCTATCACATAGATGAACAGATGTCCTTGCTGTATGAATGTGCATCCTTTGGGTATAAGCCTGAATGTATAGTGAGGTAGACTGGTTCCTATTTTCTGGAGAAACTGCCTTACTGACTTCCAAAGTGCCTGTATGAGCTTTCCCTCCCACCAGTAATGGAGAAGTGGTTCCCGTTCTCCACATCCTCATAATCATAAACAGTGATTTTGATTTTGCCGTTCTGACAAGCATAGGATGATTGTACAGAATTGTTTTGATTTCCATTTCTCTGATGGCTAAGGATGTTGGGCAATTTCTTAAGTGTCTTTTAGCCATTTTGGATTCCTCTATTGATAATTCTCTGTTTAGTTCTGTACCCCACTTTTTAATTGAATTATTTGGTGTTTGGTGGCTAGCTTCTTGAATTCTTTGCATATTTTGGAGATCAGGCCTCTGTCTTTTGTGGGGTTGCTGAAAATATTTTCCCATTCTGTGGGCTGCTGTTTTGTCTTGTTGACTGTGTCCTTTGCCTAACAGAAACTTGTCAGCTTCAAGAGGTCCCTTTCATTATTTGTCAATCCCAGTGAGTGTGCTAAAGGCTGAGGTCTTATTCCTAACCCCACACTAAACTTTATTCAAGCCCTTCCTACCTTACCTGGTCAATGGCCAATCAGTCCCTTATGTACAGAATTAAAGTCTTTGACATTCAATGCTGCCCAAAACTTCTGAGATTATCATTGCATTTGTGTACCTAAAAACCCAGGCACACCCTACAGCCTGTGTTGACCTGTGTTCTCATTCTATGACAGCATATGTTCATAATGTTATGACAGCAGGTTAATGGAATGACCAATACTGATTTTGCTGAATCAAATCACTATGCCCCTGCTCACGTGCTTAGCGCTCAATGGAGTTGTGTTGGATCTTCCATGATGCATTTTGTAGAACCGTGTTCAAGCTGAGGGAGCTCAGGAGATCGGGGCCTTGTGGAGTCTAGGGAAGACAACTTTCAGAGGTGGTGAGCGTGGGTGTCTGCCATGTCATCTCTCAGCTCTCCGAAGGAACTTTGAAGTGTTCCCTTTCCACATTTCTTTGTGCGTGTGATATGGTTTTCCTCTCTGGGGTCTGCAGAGCAGACACCCACATCTGGTGCAGTCACCATCCATGTTCTTCTCCTGTGCCACCACATCTGTCTAAAACAGTTGTGGTTAAAGAAAAATCAATGTTATGATTATACACGTCTTCATTTGTGTCATAGGGGTATCTCTCTTTTCCCTCCCTCTACCCGTTCTCTTTCCAGTTCTTCCCATGGGGCTGACAGGACTTTTCCTGTTTCCCTCTTCTCTTCTGTCCTCTCTCTGTGTCTCTTTACTTCTTTTCTGTTTCCTTCCCCCTCCATCCTCTTCTTATAAAATTTCTTACTTAAGCTCTGTCTGCCTGGCATGTTTTTTCCCATCTTTGGTCACCCTCACCTGGCATGGAATCTCTCAATGTCCCCCAGGCAAGGTCCCCTCAAGGTTTATCATAATAACTTCAACCTTTGAAACCACAAGTGCCATGGCTGTTTCCCTAATACTGAGGTCCCTTCCAAAGTATCACTTAAAGTGACAATGACAGGAAGTTCAGACTATGTTCCAAACCTATGTGCTCTTTAGGAACACACAGAAACCACAGGGAAGGACGCAACACTAACTTACTTGAGACGGCATTGCTGTATGCCCATGTTCTTGGACACTGTAGTCCTGGATGCTGCATAGAGTTCCCATTTTTGGCTGACAATATATTGAAATCTGGTATTTTCCAGACCATGCAGAACCCTCTGGTATAGTTTGGGAGCATGCGATATCAGAGCATGACTACAGTAGGAACCTTCTTCCTCATCAGATACATGGTTCTATCCTTGGCTAAGTGTCCCTGTGGAGCAGAAAAGTTAGACTACACAAAATGTGTATGTCCTATGACCCAGCTTTTTGGTAGTCATGAAGACAGAATTTTGGAGTTTAGGTCCCACTCAAGCTCTCTTGTATGGCAAGAGCTTGAACTTCAGAGCTATTCTCACAGCCCTGTTAAAGTTGCTTTTTAAATTTCTAAGGGCATCTGACCTGAACAAGGTACAGATCATCACACATGGCAATTAAAATTTTATATTCAGTAAAGGAGTCTAGCCATCTGGAAAATGCAAATGAAACCAACTCTGAGGTACCAACTTACTCCTTTCAGAATGGCTAAAATCATAAACTTCAATGACAATTTATTCTGGAGAGGATGTGGAGAAAGGGAACACTCCTCCACTGCTGTTGGGAGTACCAACTCGTACACCCATTTTGGAAATCAGTGTGGAGATTCCTCAGGAAAATGAGAATCAGTCTACCACAAGACCCAGAAATTCCACTCTTAGGCATATACCCAAAATATGCACATTCATACAACAAGGATGTCTGTTCCACTATGTTCATAGCAGCACTATTTGTAATAGCCAGAACCCGGAAGCAACGTAGATGGCCTTCAACTGAAAAATGGATAGAGAAAATGTGGTACATTTACAAAATGGAGTACTATTCAGCAGGAAAAAACATTGAAATCTTGAAATTTGTAGGCAAATGGATGACACTAAAAGAAACCATCCTGAGTGAGGTAACCCAGTCACAAAAAGAGAAACATGTTATGCCTACTCATATATGGATTTTAGACATGAGTCAGGGGAGTGCCAGCCTACAATCCCACTGCCAGAGAGTCTGGGAAACAGAACCTTCATACAGTGACTGATGGAAGCAGTGGCAGACACCCACAGCTAAACACTGAACTGAACTGGAATCCAGTGACAGAATGGGGGAAATTCTGGGAAAAGGAGTGAATACTGGGCTGGTTTAACCCACAGAAACAGTTGACCTGAACAAGGAGGAGCTCTTGGACCTCGGATTGATTGCTGAGTAGAAAGCATGGGACTGATCCAGACACCCTGAATGTGGGTGTCCGTGAGAAAGCCTAGGTAATCTATGGGGCCTTGGGTAGTATTTATCCCTGGCATAAAATGAACTTTGGGTGCCTGTCTCATAATGAGGAATGCTCTCTCAGCTTGGAATCTTGTTGGAGGGCCTAGGCCCTACCCTGGATGAAATGGGAGACTCTGGAGATCCACCATGGGGGGCCTCACCCTACCTGGGTATCAGATAGAGATTGGGTGAGGACCTGAGGGCATGGTGTGGAATGTGGGGGAGGAGGGGAGGGAGAGGTAGGTGGCATTGACATTTTTTCTCACTTAAATTTTTAAAAAAGAAAAAAAACAAAGTGAGAAATGTAATATTGAAATATGACTGTTTGAATCAAGGTGTCATATGTACTACATAAGAATTTGCCATTGTGTTGAATCATAGCATTAGATGAGAACTTTATAAAATATACTGTTTTAAATATGTGTATATATTTCTGTGTGGGTAGTGCAGTGATCTCGGAGACCAAGAGGGGCCACAGGTTCCTCTAGACTGTCACTGGTTCTGAGCTGCCCAGAGTCTAGTGCTAACAATCTCCATGTTCTTTTGTTTCTTCAAGACCTGATGCTGCTCACCACACATAATCATGTTTGCACTGAGTGATGATCTGCACTTTGTTCAGGTCAGATACCCTTACAAATTTAAAAACAACTTTAACAGGGCTGTAAAAATAGAGTATGCAGTTCAAGTTCTTGCCACACAGCAGGGCTTGGGTGGGATCTACACTTAGATCTTCATGACAAGAAAAATGCCTCATTTGGCAGTGAACAAGTTATTGCATGTACGTGAAATGGGGACAGCATAATCACTTGGACTCATTGACCAACCAGTGTGGTCAGTTGGTCAATTCCTGGCACAGTTATAGAGCTTGTCTCAGAGAATATGTGCAGACTGATAGAGAGAATCATATGTCCACACACACACATGCATACATACACATACACAAACATGTGCATACACACATGAACAAACACATGCACACACGCATGCACATAGGCATGCACACACACACATGCACACACATGCACACACACACTTGTACACATACACACACAAGCATACTTGCACACACACGCAAACATACATACTCACACACAAACTTACACACATGTAGGGAGAGATTTAAATATCTGTAGCATTGATGACTCCCGTGTGGGTGTGTTCACATGTACCTAGAACACAGAGTGGATAAACAGAGTGAGGGAGAGGAGACTCTCGCTCTTTGGGAAATTGTAGGGAGAGACAGTACTTACCCGTAACACAGCTATACGGGACTGGTCGGCGCTACGGATACATAAAATGTCTTCCTACACACACACACACACACACACACACACACACACACACACACACACACGTACATACAATGAGACAGAGAAAGACAGAAGGCCAAAAGAACAGAGGGGGCTGTAGAGGGAGAGAGGAAGATGGAGACGAGAGAGGAAGAGAGGAGAAAAAGGCATAAAGACAAAGAGGTGAGGGAAGAAAGAGTAAAATAAATAAAAAACACTGATTCTAATGGAAAATGTATAATGGAATAGATATTTGGGATCTTGTTGAATTACTACACATCACAACTGTAGAGAGAAGCCCTGAGTGTGGTGTGGAGAGGAAGCCCAGACAGAGAGGAGTCCAGCCCGGTTTGCCTCTCTGAACAGGCTCCTATGTGACCTGAGTTTCTGTGCTCTCATCGCCCCCTGCTGGTTCCAAATTTCCTACATGGAGGTTTGTGTCTGAGCTCTCAGCAGCGTTCACTCACTGTGTCTCTTGCACAGTAATACATGGCTGTGTCCTCAGACTGGAGACTGTTCATTTGCAGGTACAGGGTGTTCTGGGCATTGTCTCTGGAGATGGTGAACCGGCCCTTCACCACGTCTTCATAGTTGATGGTCCTACTGCTACCACTAATGTATGCAACCCACTCCAGCCCCTTTCCTGGAGCCTGGCGCACCCAGTTCATCCCGTAGCTACTGAAGGTGAATCCGGAGGCTGCACAGGAGAGTTTCAGGGACTTTCCAGGCTGCGATAAGCCTCCCCCAGACTCCAGCAGCTGCACCTCACACTGGACATCTGCAAACAGAGAATTCTAGTCAGAAAACTGTCATAGAATCAAATGTTTCTCTTTCTCATGTCCACACAACAAACAGTATCTCCTCTCTACTAATTACCTTTTAAAATAACAACAAGACAAAGCCAAATAAGCCCCGAGTCCATGGTGAGTGTCCTGTGTTAAGTGCTGATCACAGAATGGGAGGACCCAGGAATCCAGATCTGGGCTCCTCTGCCAGAGCTGCAGGGTCAGGGCAGGGCTGGCTTTCATGGGCACAGAGGAGCCTTATTTGCATGTCTTCCTGCTGTAGGAGGCTCTGGAGTTGGACCTGGTAAGAGGGCAGTGCTCAGAGCTGACATCAGACACACAAACGGCAGTTAGAGAAAATGACAGAGTAAATTATCGCTCGCTGTGCACTTTATTTTCATATAAAGTATTCACCACACTTTATTTACTTCCTTTTTCTTTTTATCTTTTCTCAAGTGTTCTTTTTTAAATTGATTTTATTTAAATTAAAAACAATCTTATTTTACATACCAATCGCATTTCCCTCTCCCTCATTCCTCACATTTCCCCCACCAGCCCCTGCATCCTATACTCCCTCCATCTACTCTCCAGGGTGGGTGAGTCCTCTCAAGTGGGGTCTGTCACATCATTTGTGGCAGAATCCAGGCCCTCCCCCATGTATCTAGGCTGAGACAGTGTCCCTTTATGTGGAATGGGCTCCCAAAGTCCATTTGTACACTAGGGATAGACACTGGTTCCACTGCCAAAGTCCCACAGACTGCCCAGGCCCTTAACTGACTCCCACATTCATAGGGTCCTGGTTTGGTCCTATGTTGTTTCCCCAATTGTCAGACTGGAGTCCATGAGCTCCCACTTCCTCAGGTCAGCTGTAATAATATGGAACTTTGGGTAGTATTTATCCCTCGCATACAAATGGATTTTGGCTGCCCATATTACAATGAAGGATGCTGTCACAGCCTGAACTCATGCGGGAAGGCCTCAGCTCTGCCCTGATGAAATGACAAACTCTCGAGATCCTCCATGGAAGGCCCCACCATCCCTGTGCATGGGAGCAGAGATAGGGTGACGGACTGGGGTGCCTGGCAAGGGTTCCAGGGGAGGAGGAGAGGGAGATGGGGTTTGGATCTGCATTTGAAGCATGATTTTCGATTTTAAATTGAAAAATCTTATTAAAATGATGTATGGAGGTACAGTGGGGATACAGTAATATCTGCTTACTATCGCATGTCCTGTTGAGATCTCATGGGAGTAAGCATCCATGAAGCCACTATACTGTAAGACAGAAAAACACTCCCTGATGTTTCTGTTAATATGCCCTTACATAACTACATTAGCCACTTTGGGGCACATATACTGACAATATGTACGCCTGTGAATAAGATCCCCTGGCCTTTTCCCCTTTGAAATAGGTTTGATGAATTCCTTTGATGTCAGTAGACCCTCTACCTCTCTCTGTTTAACATACTGATGGGTGGGTTTTTTCCAGGCTTTTGCTTTCACACTGCCTGTGTTTTCGATGGTTTGTTGTCTGTTTTACACAGCACCCTTCTGTCCCACTGTCTAGAAACTCAGCAGATACTCAGTCAGTGTTAAGTTTGGTTTGAACAGATACATGAAATGTAAAAGTCATGAATGGTGCCAGCCTCCACCTGTCAGAGACCCGCCTATGTTTCATAATAGTTGTACACTGCATGAAGATGTGTTGCTGTGATTGCTGTAATAGCGCCAATAGCTAGGCAGGAGATATAGGTGGGACCTCTGGGCAAAGGGAAGAAGAGTATAGTCGAGGCCCAGTGGATGCCAGCCAGACCCAATGAGGCAGACACTCAGATGGGACAGAGTTAACAGCAACATGGTGTGGGGACACCAGACCTTGAGCAGAAACCCACTTCCCCTTTGGCCTGGGAGCAGGCAGCTGTGTAATGTTTACTGAAAACAAGTCAGTGCTATAAAGCTCTTGATAGGGCTCAGATAAGGGCTTGCTCACTGAGATACCATGACTTTCACACCCCCTATGGCTAGATGCCTCTTCCTGTCCCCCCTGCTATGTCTCCCCAATTCTCTGGCTGGAGATTAAACCACCAGGCAGGAGGGTGAGAAGTCTGGAAAGAATTGTATGTAGATGAATGGCAGAAGTCCTTAAAAAGGGGAAGTATTTTTTCTTGGAGAGACTTCTCTCTCCTAAACGGACTTGGAATCTCCTCCTAAGCTGACTTGGGAAGCATAAAGTTTTCTTAAAGCAACTGACCGGTCTCTGTGTCATCTATCCCGACCATCTAGCTACATTCTCGGATGCAGGCCGCACAGCAGGTGTGACAACATGGTAGAATGCATATTAATAAACTATGGGTTAATTGAAGTTATAAGAGCTTGAAAGTAAACCTAAAGTAAAGGCCTAGATTTCAAAATTAATACTGTGTTTCCATGTCATTATTTGTGACCTAGCAACCCAAAGAAAATTCTTTTACTTATAGAATCCAATGTGGATGCACATATTTCCACATAGGAACTGAGAAGCTTTAAAACTCTTCAAAAATACCAACAGGAAGCCAGACACAGCTTTTCAGGCAGGCCATGGTGAGGGATGCACTCTCTGCAGGTGCCTGGGGACTTGAGTAACCAGTGCCATGTGCAGAGCTGCATGGCAGGTTTAAGCCTTGGCTCACATGGTCAGAGTAGACTGCAGGCACCAGTAAAACAGTCCAGATAAGACAACCTTTAAACAGATTCAGCAGTGTTTGCATACAGTCATAGAGAAAACAAATAGTTATCTTGCCAAGGGTGTCCCAATCTACACAGGCTTTTCCCTCCCTGAATCTGCTTGATAAATTTCTGTCCAAGCTGATTAGTATCTTTCTTTTTTTATTTACTTGTTCTTTTTTATTCCTTTTATTATTTTTAAGTTTAAATTTAAATTAGAAACAAGGTTGCTTCACAACTCATTTCCACGTCCCTCTCCCTTTCCCTTCTCTCTTCCCGTGGCCTCCCCCAGCCCTCCCATTATCCCCTCATTACCCAGGGAGGGTGAGTCCCTCTATGGGGGTGTCCATAGTCTGTCATTTCATCCAGGGCAGGGCCTAGACCTTCCCCTCGAAAGTTCAGGGTGAGAGTGCATCTCATATTGTTGGGAGTCCAAAGTCCATGTGTATACTCGGGATGAATACTGATCTACTGCCCAAGGCTCAATAGATTACCTAGGCATCCTCACTGACACCCACATTCAGGGGATCTTAATCAGTCCCATGCTGAATTCCCAGTCATTAGCTTGGGATTCAAGTGTCAACCTTTGTCAGGTAGGCTGTTTCTGGGGGTTAAAACACCCCAGTCTTAATCCCTTTGGTCATCAGTCCTCCCTCTCTGTCACTGGATTTCCTGAGTTCAGCTCAGTGCTTAGCCTTTGGAGTCTGCCTCTTTTTCCATCATCCATTGAGTGAAGTTTCTGCTTCCCAGGCTCTCTGGCTATGGGATTGTAGGCTGGCACTCCCCAGATCTATGTCTAAAATCCATATATGAGCTAGAACATGCCATGTTCCTCTTTTTGTTACTGCATTACCTCACTCAGGATGGTTTCTTCTAGTGTCATCCATTTTCCTGTAAATCTCAGGATTCAATTGTTTTTTTCCTGCTGAATAATACTCCATTGTGTAAATGTACCACATTGTCTCTATCCACTCTTTGGTTGAGGGGCATCTAGGTTGCTTCCAAGTTCTGGCTATTACAAATAATGCTGCTATGAACACAGTGGAACAGACATCCTTGTTGTATGAATGGGCATCTTTTGGATATATGCCTAAGAGTGGAGTTGCTGGTTCTTTTGGTAGGTTTATTCCCATTTTTCTGAGGAATCTCCACACTGATTTCCAAAGTGGCTGAACAAGTTGGTACTCCCACCAGCAATGGAGGAGTGTTCCCCTTTCAACATATTCTGTCCAGCATAAATTATCGTTGGTGTTTTTGATTTTACCCATTATGACGGGAGTGAAATGATATCTCAGAGTTGTTTTGATTTGCATTTCCAGGATCGCTAAGGATGTTGAGCACTTTATCAAGTGCCTCTCAGCCATTTTAGACTCCTTTATTGAAAATTATCTTTTAGTTCTGCAGCCCACTTTTTAATTGGATCCTTTGGTGTTTTGCAGACTTGCTTTTGAGTTCTTTTTAAATTTTTGAGATCAACCCTCTGTCAGATGTGGGGTTAGTGAATACTTTTTCCCATTCTTGGGCTGCCTTTTTGTCTTGCTGACTGTGTACTTTGCCTTACAGAAGGTCCCATTTATTAATTGTTGATCTCACTGTCTGTGCTACTGCTGTTATGTTCAGGAAGTCGTCCCCTGTACCAGTTCGTTCAAAGGTACCACCCACTTTCTCTTCAGTTTCTGTTCAGTGTGGCTGGATTTATGTTGAGGTCTTTGATCCATTTGGACTTAAGTTTTGTGCATGGCGGTAAACATGGATCTATCTGCATTCTTCTACATGGCAGCCTACAGTTATGCCAGCACCATTTGTTGACGATGCTTTCTTTATTCCATTGTTTATTTTTAGCTTCTTTGTCAAAGATCAGATGTTCATACATGAGTGGGTTAAAATCAGGGTTTTCTATTTGATTCCATTGGTCTACCTGTCTATTTTTGTGCCAATACCAAGCTGTTTTCAGGACTATAGCTCTATAACAGAGCTTGAAGTCAGGGATGGTGATGCCTCCAGATTTGCCTTGTTGAGCATGGTTGTTTTGGCTATCCTGGGTCTTTTGTTTTTCCATACAAAATTGATTATTGTTCTTTCAAGGTCTGTGAAGGATTGTGCTGGGATTTTAATGGGGATTGCATTGAATCTGAGGATTGCTTTTGGCAGGATTGCCATTTTTACTACATTGATCCTACCTATCCAAGAGCATGGGAGATCTTTAAATTTTCTGGGGGCTTCTTTAATTTCTTTCTTTAAAAATGCAACGTTCTTGCGATACAGGTCTTTCACTTGTTTGGTTAGCGTTACCCCAAGGTATTTTATGTGGTTTGTGGCAATTGTAAAGGGTGATGTTTCTCTCATTTCTTTTCAGCCCTTTTATCTTCTGTATATAGTAGGACTACTGATTTTCTTGAGTTGGTCTTGTAGCCTGCCACTTTGCTGAAGTTGTTAATCAGCTGTAAGAGTTCCCTGGTGGAGTTCTTTGGGTCATTTATGTAAACTATCATATCATCTGCAAACAGTGAAAGTTTGACCTCTTCCTTCACAATTTTTATCCCC